CGGTTGAACCATACCTCCTTTCGTTTGTCTTTATTTGAATCTCCCTTTCTATTGTCAAGTCTTCCTTTTGTGATTCCCCTTACTTTCGTTATCGTCGTCCTTGGCGCCTTTCGCGTGTGTCCTTTATTAGATCGATCTCGACATCAACCCTGGCTTCAGTCGTCGTCGGATTGCGTCCCTTCGTTCCGTGGTTAGGCAGCGTCAATCGCGCCTCTAGTTGTGGTTCAGGAGATACCTAATTCCAGTCTAACGGTCCATTGCTTTTTTCCACAACCACCGCGTACTGGCTGATCCGATCGCTTCTTTCCCATTTTGATCGACTATCATGGCTCCTCCGCCGCGCTTGCGCATTCTGTCAGGTTAGTGCTCAGCCGCTGCCCAGAAAACCACACCATCTATCGTCATTTCCCGACAACCCTTGTTCTTGGATGATTTGCTGGTCCACTCGGTCGCTGCCATCCAAGAGACTCCTAGACTACGTTGAATTTAAACACCATCATGGGTCGTCTGCTAACGCGGGTCTGTTTAGTGGGCAGCAATGCCATCTCGGCGTTCCTTTCCTGGAGGCTCCAGGCGACAACCTCCTGCGACGTGACACTGGTCTGGAAATCGGGCTACGAGGCAGTTTCTCAATACGGCGTGTCTTTCAAGTATGGCTGGTCGCTCATTCTCATAACATGGCAAGGTTCTGACGGGGAATGATTAGGTCGAAAGCGTTCGGAAATGAACGGTTTAAGCCACGCCATGGTGAGTTCTGTCCCTTTGTCACACATCCGTCGCTCGTGTGCTGATTAGAATCATACGATAGTTGTTCGGACACCCGAAGAAGCAGCATCACGAGAGAACGCATACGACTATGTAATCCTCTGCGTCAAGGCTCTGCCCGATGTCTATGACCTGGCCGCGGTAATAGAGTCCGTTGTGACCCCTCAGCACACCTGCATCTTGGTCAACACAACCAACACCCTCGGTGTCGAATCGCATTTGGAACAACGGTTCCCCACAAACGTCGTTCTTTCGCTTGTATCGGGCGTCGAAATCACTCAGATCGGAGCCAGCGAGTTTGAGCACCTGAACTCATCGGAAATATGGGTCGGTGCCACGAATCAGAACTCCAACGTTCCCTCTTCCATCCAGACCGACATGGCTGCGGCGCTAGCGATGACTCTGAGTTCGGGCCAGGTGGATTGCAAAGTATCGAAGAATATCAGACAAGAACAGTTTGAACGTATTATAGGGTGAATTATCCTCCTGTGTGCTTACGAGGATATCGAGTTTTTGCTAACTACAGCATTTCTAGTCCGATCGCCTTCTACCCCGCCAGCGTTATGTTTGATTCTGGAAATGTACAGCAATTATTAGAAAAAGTCGGCGTGCGTCAGCTGATATCGGACGTGATCGACGAACTCCTCGATTTGGCGAAAGCACACGGTTGCTCTTTTCCCAGCGACTTTAACCAAAAGACCATGGAGAAAATGACGACCATCCAGACACCAAACACTATGTACCAGGATTTCCAGGCTCGGCGTCCCATGGAGATTGAGACGTATCTCGGTTCTCCCATCAAATTGGCAACGGAGTCCAATGTCAAACTCCCACGCGTCGAGACCCTCTATGCAATGCTGCACCATATCAATGCCACTAATCTGAGCAAACCTCGTGACTCTCCCCCTCCGGCCCTGGCTCAGCCTCCGCCCCGGGTGTCTTCGGTTCCTCCCCCCAGAAATGGTCCTATGCGCCCGCCTCCCGGACGGTCGAGTTCCGCCATGATGATGCCCCCACCGAGACGTGGACCTCCGATGCCTGGAATGTCGCGACCACCAAGCGCTCAGCCCCCGGCTGGCGGGCCTAGGATGCCTCGTGAACCGTCTCTGGAAGGCCTTGAGGAGTTCAGTCATCTGGTCGTTTATGATGATGCGGGTGATCAGGGTATGCCTGCAAATGGTGCTAATGGTTATCCGGACGTTCCGCCAGGCCCCGGACCATCTGGACTGGCTTTGAGAGAACGCGAGCTGGCCATTCGCCAGCGGGAGTTGCAGCTTCGAGAGCAAGAGATGCATATGCGTCGTGGTCCCCGCAGACCTCCGCCTTCCAAGGCGGCTTCTTTCGATGAGGAGGACGAGGACGATTACTTCGATCCCATGGATACTAGCTTGGTCCCCCAGATCGACCCCGACAACGTTGATATGCTTAGTATCACATCAAAGAGGACAAAGAAATTTCCCAGTGCTAGTCAGATCCGCAAGAACCCCGAGCTCCTTTCGAGCACTGGCCCGGGTGGTGGCGGCGGTGGTGGTAGAACAGGGACGTTCAGCCGCTACTTTGGAGGAAACAGGAAGCGCGCCAGTGACCGTATCATGCAGGAAATTCCTGGCCTCCATGACTCTCTCCTAGACAACCCTATGATGGCTTACTCGTCGAACCGGTACGGGTCTGTTGACCGAAACCAAATGGCTGCTGGTTCCCGGACCAACTCGATGACTACCAGCCGAATGGGCGACTACCCTCCTCATCCGTACCCGCAAAGCAGGAGGAATAGCCATTCTCCTGCCGCTCCTTTCGGTGGTCCTCCTGGTCCGCGAATGGGCCGCCCAGCGACTGCCCAAGACCAGAACTTTGGCCCACCTCATGGGCCTCCGAACGGCGGCCACCCGTCGCCTCCGGGACACATGCGAGCGCCAGTCCCTCGCCATCCTCCTGGGCATGGCAATGCGGTAGGTCCGCAGCAGGTTGAACAACAAATTGGGGTGAGCAAACCGTATCCCGCCAAGGGCACTCCCAAGCATAGAAGTCTGACAGGAAGTGCGAGCGCCAGCGCGGAGAGTGGTGACAGCGGGGCTAGTGCCAACCTCGATTCCGAGACCTCTGCCCATAGCAGCCAGATCAGCCTCGGCGCGCAGCCAGCTGCAGCGCCCGTTCATTGAGTCGCGAAGCCCGTCCTTCCTTCGTCTCTCTTTCGAAGTCGCTGAGCACATGCCTTGGCGCTGACTGCTATGGACACGACTGGTTTCGTTAACGTCTCCATCTTTTCCCTTTTCCAGTCGGGTGGGTGATTTCCATGCTTTTGGGACGCCCTTAACCCGTATTGCTTTTGCTTTTCTATAAAGGATATACTTTTAATGAGATGCTTTGGCAAGGAGGGTGGGCACAGACTCCATGTCAATTGTCTGTTGTTTGCGGCTTTCTTACATATACACCAAGGGACATAGGGGCTTTCACTTTCTCACTTTCTCGTTTGATGATTTCCACTACGGAGTGGTCGGGCGGGCGCGTGCGTGCGTGCATGCATGATTGTTGCATGTGGTGATTTGCCTTGACTTTGATTATCTCTTTTTCTTTTTCCTCTCAAGTTGCACGGCATTCTCGAACATTAATGAGCATGAGCATGAAGCTCCACCAGATAAATACGTTTTTTTTGACTTTCCACAGCTATACCACCGACGTTCATTGCCAGACACACACCATACATGCCTTGTTTCTGCAAGACCCAGTGTTGTACACTACCTAGCTCGGCGCATCGTCCTATTGTCTATTCCCTACCATCTCCGCTGCTTTGTTTGACACGCATGCCCTCCTTTGACTTGATTTCCTTGGCCGTCTCCTTCCATAGCTGTTCTGTGCTGTTCTGTATGGGCTCTGGCGCGAACATCCCACCACCCTGTCATCTTTCTCATTCATGGTCCGGTTTCTGGCGCATAAAAAGAGCAAGGGGTTGATTTATTCTGTTGATTGATTGATTTGATTTGGCTGGGTTCATGTTCCTACCGGGTGTTAGTGAGAGGAACTGCGTCGGGAATGTCGGCGCGGCAACTGCTCCATTGATTAGAACATGTTGACAATAAACGAGACTTAATCGGTTGGAACAGTAATAGTATAACTTGTATGATGAATGGAATAGTTTGATGGTATACAATGATAGTTGTGATTGTTGCCGGAGACACATGCACGTGACCTACATGACCGCGGGGGTAAACAAATCCCCTCTATCTGCAGCTTCTCCCATTACCTTCTCTAACACATCACCATTACAACTCACCTCACCGAGTACACCCAACCAACCCAATATAGCCTTCAACATACTATCGATAAGGAACAACAATGCCCTCCCACCAATACACCCACTCCCAATCCCTCCCCCGACACTCCATCCTCCCCGCCTCCACCACCGCCGGCCCTTCCTCCTCCATGGGCAGCTCCTCCATGTCCATGGCCAAGACGCGCCAGTACACCAACCTGCATAATCAACTCGAGCAACTGAACGCTAATCTCCGAGACACGGAGAATCTGCTCAGGATGACAGCCGTGCAGGCCGAGGATATGCGTTTCCTGGGCGGGTATGTTGGTGCATTGTTTATGGGGTCTGCGAAGGTGTTGGGAGAGGAGGGTGTTAAGGGGGATAGTGCTGGTGATGAGGAAAAGAGAGAGGGTTGAGAGGAGAAGATATTTGGGGTGTCTGAAAACCTTTCTTCATGGATGTGTTATGAATTTATTGGCACAAGGGTATTGGTAAAGTGAGTGTTTAACAATTCTCTATTGACTCTCTCTCGTTCTATTTGCTAACTATGAGATTCTCTACAGGTAGTCCGCCATCTCAGCTATCGACTACGAACCCTCCACCGAGAATGATAGCCGGCTCATCGATATTGTGGTGCTCATAGCTGGCGTGGGAGAGTCAGTCAGTCAGCAACATGCACAGGAAACAAACGCCCAGAGGGTATATGGTATACTCACCTCAGCGTGCCCACACCACCCGCTTCCAAAATCAGCGCCGTCTCCGTCAACGGCTTCCCGGTCCACCGCATCGCAAACGCACGCAGGATATGTCCGTGAGCCACGACGAGAACATCGCCCTTGCCCGTGGAAGAAGCAGAGTCGCCGTCGAAACAGGGCTTGTGGAACTTTTCTCTGATCTCTGCGATCACTGCGTCCAGACGCTTGATCACGTCTTCGGGGGATCTAGTGGCACCGATGTCAGTTAGCTTAGCTGTTCAATACCACCACCATCACCATACTCCATAACGCAATCATTATTATAAGAGGAAAAGGGATAGATAGGATAACATACTCTCCCCCAGGACACCCATCCCTCCAAATATCCCACTCCCCCTCCCCCCTCTCCCTCCTCATCTCCCGAATCTGCTTACTAGTCAACCCCTCATACTCCCCATAATCCCACTCCCTAACGGCCTCCGTAACCTGCACCCTCGCCTCCGTACGTATCGGCTCTTCGTCCTCAGACTTCCGCGCCTCATTCCAGGGTAATCTCTCCCTGCATCCGATTTCGAGTAGTTCGAGGGTCCGTTGGGCCCGTGCGCGCGGCGATACATACCTACATCATCACCCACACACCATCAGTATCTCAATTCACACGCCATCCATTCATGTCATCACGAATACAAAAAAGATAGGGTGGTGGTGTCATACACATGAACCAACTTCCTCGGCACAATCAACCGATCATTCCCGACCAACGCCTTCCCCGTGGCTTTTATCCGTTTCTCGCCGTTTTCGGTCAGTGGGAGGTCCGTCGTGCCTGTGTGTCGGCCGTTCAGGGACCAGGAGGTCTCGCCGTGGCGGATTATGAAGCAGCGGGGGGTCATTTTTCTTTGTTCTTATTTCTTGGGTTTTTTGGGGGGCGGAAGAGGGGAGATTGGGTGGGTGTGTAGGTGTGTTGTAGGGATTGAGAAGGTGAGGCTTATGGGGGATTGATTGACTTGGTGGTAGTGGTGAGTAGTGGGGAGGGTAAGTTGTGCTGGCTGGCTGGCTGGTTGCGTCATAGGTTTTGGGGTCGGTGAGTGAGATGGGATCTTGGGGGTCTTTGCTTGTTCGGTCTTATCGATAGGGTGGGGGTTCCGGGTGTGGATGGGCTGGCTGTCTATGTTGCAACGGAGGTGTTCGTTTCTTTTGTTTGCTTGTAACATGGAGGGGGGATTCTGCTGGTATGTGATCCTACTGGCTACTGGCTCACATCTGAGTCAATCTGAAGCAGCAGTCCTAATCAAAATAATCGCAACATTTGATAATACACTGTCATGCTAAGAGGCACTGGCCCAAGACACATCCCAGGCATCTAGTTATTATCCTTATCATTTAGTACGCTTTTTATCCTCCAGATGTTCCCTTCCCTACCAGTGCCTCCCAGAAAGCGACATGTTAAATAGCAACCGAACCATCACGCCAAAGGAAACAAGGAAACCGAAGACGAAAAACCTGCGATAAAATTCAACTCAATTTCTCCTGCTACATACTGTTCCGGCGAGCACAGGCCCAATCATCTAGGCCATGTAAGTGCTCGAGTCAACGCCGCCCTCGGGGTATTCACTAGTACTCATTAGCTTCGTTCACATGCTCGTAAACATCGGTCTGTACTTACGGAAGGGCAACCTCGAAGCGCTTCTCAATATCCTTGAGCACCTTCTCGTCATCCTCGGTGCTGACGAAGGAGATCGACAGACCCTTGGTACCGAAACGACCCGCACGACCGACACGGTGCAGGTAGGAGTCAGCATCAGCCGGCAAGTCGTAGTTGATGGCAAGGTTGATACGCTCAATATCGATACCACGTCCGAACACGTCAGTGGCGACACAGATACGCTTGTTGAATTCCTTGAACTCCTTGTAGCGTTTGATACTACCAACCGTTAGTGCATAGCCAACGACATGGGCAACGAGTATTCTTACCGCTCCTCCTGGCTGACACCAGAGTGCACCGCGATACTGGGGAAGTTGCACTCGCGCAACAGCTTGTCGAGCTCATTCGCACGCAGGGTGCTCTTAACGAAGATGATAACCTGGTTGAACTCCAGGCTGTCCAGGAGCTCGTTCAGCTTGCGGTTCTTCTCCGCTTCGCTGAGCTTGATGTAGTATTGCTGCAGACCGTGCAGCGTAAGCTTCGTGTCGTCATCGACGTAGACCTCGAGAGGGTTCCTCATGAACTTCTTGCACACGGGGCGGATATCCTGAGAAAGAGTGGCACTGAACATCATGACCTGCTTGTCGGCAGGGGTGGCACGGAAAATCTCCTGGACATCACGACGCATGTCTATAACAAATCATCAGTACAACGTAAGATAACCTGACGCAAATAAACTCACCAATCTGGTCCAGCATCTTATCACACTCATCGAGAACGAAAGCCTTGACGTTGCGCAGAGAAAGCTTCTTGTCGCGGACCAAGGCGTTCAGACGACCGGGAGTACCGACGACAATGTTGGGGTAGGACTCCTTGTTGGAGAGCAACTCAACGTCCTTCTGGATGGGGGTACCTCCGTAGAAGACGGCAGTCTTGACATCGGGAAGGTACTTGCTGAAACGAGCGTACTCGTTCTTGATCTGGTATGCCAACTCGCGGGTGTGGCACATAACAAGGATAGAGCACTCGCCAGGAACCGGCTCCAGCTGGTGCAGGGTGGTCAAAACGAAGACCGCGGTCTTTCCGAGACCAGACTTGGCCTGGCAGAGAACATCGACGTTCAGGATAGCGGTAGGAATGCAGACTTGCTGGACTGTAGTGAGGCGGAACCGTATGTTAGACTTGTACTCGACCCATAAGTTTTGAGAAAGAGAAAAAGCAATTCGCGTCGCAGCGTCCGTCCATCCCCGAGGTTTTGAGTCCGAAGGGATGCATTATAGTCCCGTATGTTCTTCCACCAATCAACAAAAGTCAAATGAACTTGCACACAGTCGAAATTTGTGTCAGCTGCAGTAAGACATCTTGTTCAGAGCTCTTTTCCGCAGGCGGCAGGAGGACGGCTGCAATTCAGAGAACGGTGGAGAAGCGTCCGACCCGTTTTCTTCGGAAGCAAACCACGATTCGTTCAGAATCTCTGCAGGCGAACAAACCAATCTGTGGTATCCCCTGAGCATGGTGTTGCCGTAATTCACCAGAGTAAAGTGAAGCAAACAAGCATAAGGCTGTAGATGCACTACTGCCGCAGGGCGACTCGTCTTATGTATGACGCGAAACAGACATCCTCATGCCGCCCGCAAGCGGAGGCGAAATGGGCGCCCCAGAACGACTATGGATTTTCCCCCGCGGAGATGGACGGACGTTGGAACATGGAGCAATGGAGGGAGCTTTGGGAAAGAATACGTGATAGACTAACCCTCCGATGGATGTTCGAAACCGCAATCGGTGATGGCACGTAGGAGTTCCTCTTTGAGCAAAAAGTCGCGGAAACCGGTCGAATGAATACCGACGTAACTACCCTTCTTGTCCGGACGGCCGCCAGAAACCGTCAAGTCGCCCTTCTTAGCCTCTCCGTTAGAGGCGGGGGCAGCGGTGGTGGCCGCCGCGTCAGTGGTCTGAAGCTCCTCGTCGGAGTAGTCGATGAGATCCTCTTCGTGAGACATGGTGATGGATGGTGTTGATCAAGGAAGTATTCGAGAAAACTCTGTTGTTGTCGCGTCTTATCCCAAGGCAATCGAGCCTGGGTAGATGTCGTTAAGATTAAAACGGGGGGTGAAAAGCTATGCAAGCCGAATATCTAGTTCGAAGACGATGCGAAATCCTCCTCGTAACTGTTGTGAGATGAATTGAGGATGGGAAAGGTCGAAGCGCGAAGGAAGACGATGGAGATGAAGAGAAGGTTGTCGACGCGCGAAGGGATGGAAGCGGCTGAGCCTCCGAGATCCCAGTCACGTGAATCGAGTCCATTAGTCACCGGCGGCCAACTTCCTTGCCGCATCGGGTTAGTGCCGGACGGCTGCTCGAGAAGCTTAGACTCCCCCGCTGCCTCCATGTGAATTAATTTCTTTTCACATACTTCAGGTGATTACATGCCTCTCCATCATGGCTAAAGCCAAAGCAAAGGGCAAGAAAGATTCTGCTGGTGGTGCGCACAGCCACATTCGCGCACGGATCGATTATCTCTACAACGCGGCCACCTTTCTACAAACAATAGGGAAACCATCCCCGCAAAAGCTGTCCGCCAGTCAACAAAACGATCAAATGGATGAAGCAGAAGATGGCGCCAAATTGCAAGGAACGGAGCGCATAGTACCGCAGATGGTGGAACCTGATGTTTCACCGGCAAATGAGCCGACTAGTCCATCGACGACACAGCGACTGCCTCAACTCTCTCGAGTCTATATGTCGCAAATGCGCGGTGTCTCTCTCAAGTCACAGCTCCGACTACCCATCGACGTCAAGAGGTCTTTCTGCAAGCGCTGCGACACGTTTCTGATTCCTGGAGTAACCTGCACGCAGGACATCAGAAACGCCAGCCGCGGCTGCAAGAAGCCATGGGCGGATGTTCTAGTTGTCTGTTGTTCTACGTGTGGGACGGAAAAGCGCTTCCCTCAAACGGACAAGCGGAGCAAGAAGTTGTCTGAGCGGCGGAAAGAAGCGCCCAAGGAGGAGCAAAAGGATGAAGTGATGGCGGGTGCTTGACCACATATCACGAATATCCGTTATCCCACCTTACATCTGCCCTGCATCGTCAGTCGCCTACCCTCAATTTGCAGCGGATGCGAAGTAGCCCACCCTCATGGATCGATCGGTTCTGGCTGTTGACCTATCTACAGTCTTTGGGACCGGAAACGATATCCACCGGTATGAGGGGGCGAGGGCGAAGAGGCTTCTACGCAGCAAAACAACCTCCGTGTACCCTGGTGTAAACATGTATGGCACCACAAGTCGGGAGATGGATGAGCACTGGGCGCGCGCCACACGCAGCAGGTTCGATAGTATCTGGCGCAGGAGATGAAATGTCCGCCACATATCGACAAGGCCTTGGAGGCGCAGAAATGCATTGAGAAATTCAACGAAAGAAGGACAATATATTTACATACAACACTTGCCGCTGAAGCTTCCACATCCGGGTATCCTCCTGGGCATATCAGGCGGTGACTGATCAAAAGGGAACATGCTTCAGGCTGCCTGATGGTTAGGTTGTCAACCGGTATTGACAGAGCCATGGTACAGGTTGCTTTCGGCAGCTGACATTCAATAACAGATTTCAACGAACATAAACGCAGGTGATATCATCGCAAATGGATTCCGCTCAGTCAAAACAAAACAGACAGGATAGATGCTCGTCGGGGAATCGAAACATGATAGAAGAACAGCGGCGTCATCAACTTCGTAGAGTGAACACGTGAATCATGAGATGAGAGGGAGTCGCACTCCAAGTAGACGATAAATGCAGAGGTATACCAACGCTATCAACACCTTATTACCCCGGCAATTTAGGGTAGTTTTGGAAGCCAATAATAGCCGCGAGGCCGATATCCCGATCTTTAAACAGCAGTCCTCTCCAAATACACAGACGAAGGTAAAAGAGCAAAAAGCAACCCTTGCCTCTGCGATGAGAATCAGAATCAGCATGAAGAACGTTGGGCAGCATAGTTATAATAACACAAGGTCCGCGAGGACACAACTGGTTTATGAACACATATTTGTTCGTCGGTCGAGCACAGTGTGGCTCGTCCGTCGTTTTGTGGATAGGTTTTTCTTTTGCAATGACCGTCATCGACCTCCGAGGTCGCAGTGAAGGTTAGACGAGTAACGGGGCGTATAAGCAACCGTGGGGTCGTCAACCGATAAAGGAAATTCGAATGTAGGGAAGCCTCCGGGGCAGAATGACTATGTAATGGCGCTAGGGTAATCCGAGTAGAAAGAAAGGTTTGAGGGTTGAAGTTCGAGAGTATATGGTGTGTTGGAGTGTGGACAGGAACATATCGCGAGGGTTGGCATCTCAGTGTCTCCGGCGGGCGGCTTGATCCAGGCGTTGATCGAGACCTTCTATACGTCCACGATACGCTTTCACGATTTCTCTAATATGCCCGATCTTCGCAAGCTCATTCTCCAAGTCGTCAATTGAGGCTAAAATGGAACGGGTACGGGCAATCTCGGCATCAGCATTGCGAATGACGTTGCCGGCGCGATCGTAAGTGCTTTGGATAGATATCTGCATTTGCTCTTCCAGCTACTATGTGTTAGTGTCGGAATATTAGGCGATCATCAGGAGAGGTATTGAAGGGAAGCAATGCTAGCCAGGGCCACTGTAGCAGACAATATCAAAGGGAGAACAACGGAACAGCAGAGGAGTGGACCTCCAACGGCATGTAGAGAATGATGAAGAAAGCGCAGCACCTACATCATCAAGGCGATTGCGAATCTGTTGTTGCAAACCATCCAACTGCTGCGATAGCGCCCGTAGGCTCATAGGATCCAGAATTAAACGACCGTGGCTGCTGGCGGCACTGGCGGCGCGCGAACTGGAGTTGCTGGTGCGTCCGGTCCCTCGGCCCCTGGAAACACCATTGGCACCGTGGCCGCCCTGCAGCGCTATTTGTTGTTGTTGCCTCAGAATTTGGATCTCGGAGGAGGTGAGGCCAAGCGAAGTGTCGGGAATCGAGGCTGATACGGACATTTGGTCCCGGCAGAGACATGCTCCTACCGCGACAACAGTCTAGGAAGCGCCGGTCGATCTCGTGGTGGGGAGATTGAACGAACCGAAGTTCATGATGAGAACCGATATGCGCAGGTGAGGGAGATCTCGTGAACGAGCGTCTGAGAGGGGAAGTATAAGAAGAGCCGGGAGAAAAGGAGGGAAGAGAGAAATGTCGTAGGTGAAAACAGGCAAGGATAGACACGACCCGTGGGATGAGATGGAGGGGGGGGGGAGGGAAGAAGGGAAAGAGGAAACAGATCAAGACCCGGTCAATGGACGGAGTCTTGTCAGTTCCCGAAGTGGATGATAATCCCGTTGAGAGAAATAATTAAGGTATCATTGGAAGTCAAATGAGGGAAGCCAGAGAGGGGACAAGGCTCGATAATTGGATCGTTGGTGACAGAGAAAAAGGAACGAAGAAAGTAGCCCCCGTGAGTCGGTCGGGGGTTACACTGACGGGCGACAATGCTATTGACTTGATCTTCAAGGAGGAGCCTGGCACGAGCGATTCAAGAAGGACGGGCCAGTGGTCAGCCTCGGAAGTTGGCTGGAATGTGGAGGAGGAGGAGGAGCGAGCAAAAATTGTCGCGGGCGAGAATACAAGGAAGAGAGAGGTTGTACTAGTTAGTAGGAGGATAGTGTAGATAGAAAAGATGGAGGTGCGGGAACCCGTTCGGAGGGGAAACAGAAATGACAAGGTTGAACAGGAAGAAGCAACGATGAAAATGATAAGATTCAGGACAGTTGGTGAGTAGACCAGGCCGTGGGGGTCTTTTTATGCACCGTATCTCATTCTACAGACGTTCCTGTTCTCCTCATTGACCCTTGGGTACCTGAATCTTGGAGAGGAGGTACTTGTGTTGGTGTAGTAGCAGCACTCGGGGTGACCTTCTATACCGAACAATATCCTGACCGACACGGGAAAGATTGACTGATGCGATATACTTAATTCCACTGACTTGCAATCGCACTGACAATCAACTCAGGATATAGTACTACACCAATCGATCAATCCATTTGAAGGAGAGAGTCAACCAGGATCATCCGATTGTTGGACGAACGGCAGTGTTGGAAAGAAAGGGAGGGAGCGTGACCCCCAAACAGGCAAGGAACTCTCTCAACTTCGCCCGCCCGCAATTTTGACGGCATCGCGTCCTTCTCCAAACGCTCTTCTCCCACTCCACCGTTCCTCCCCTCTCAGACACCCAATCATCTTGTTACCACCTTCATATTATCCTACTCGAATCCTTCTACCGAGGCGACTCCTAATCTCCAATCAATTTCCCCTCAAGCCCTATCTGTGCTCTGCGTCCGTACAGCTGACAAAAGCACCTCACCAACCGTCTCCTCCGAATTGCCGCACCAAGCGCTTCTTCAACCGCCATCGACGACGCCGGCATCCACACACCCCATACTTCAGGCCGACTACTGGGCCTCCTCGTTATTCGGCAAAAGGAAAGAGTAAGACTCGTTGCGCTGCCCAACCCGTGAGGCTTGAGCCTTGCGCCCTAGGTTGTCGTGACCTTGATATTATTGGTCTTGGGTCAAGGTTCCGCAGCTACAGTCGGCTTCGCGAATCCGCTGCGCCCGTGGTTGGCTTTCCCATGCAGCTTGGTTAGCTATTAGCCTGTGAGCACCTTTCTTTCTCATTCCCCATAGCTTAGTCTGCTGCAGGAGCTTCCTGATGGCCATACAGCCTCCGGAGCTCGTCATACCCAAGCCTGCCCCCTCATCCCCGACATTTCAAGATCCATATTACACAGAACTACATTGATACGTGAGATTGGATCTGACTGACTGACATTAAGAAATCAAATCATTTAGTACCCACATAGTGCCTAAACAGACAGCCGGAACAATATCCATTCCCGTGGAGTAATTGACGCCCTATCCATCCACCTCACACCTCAAATCACCCTCCCCAACCCATCACCCACCATGCCCAAAGACAAAGAACGCAGCTTAAACCCGGCGGCGCAACAACGCAAACTCGACAAACAAAAAAGTCTCAAAAAAGGCAAAGCCGAAGCGCAAGCCCGACGAAACGAGAAACTAGCGCGTCGCAACCCCGAGCGCATCCAACGACAAATCAACGACCTCAAAGCATTCGAAGAATCGGGACAAAAGCTACGACCCCGCGATCAGGAGCTTCTGGAAGCCCTGGAACGTGATCTGCGCGCCGTGCAGAAGGCCAGAGAAGCGTTGGGCGATAAGGCACCCAAATTCGACAACTTTGAATCTAGACGAGGCGGTCAGCACCGTGGGCGCGGGGATGCTGCAGTCTTAGGCAAACGCAGGCGAGATGGCGGCGACGGCAACCGGTTTAGGCACGATGGTGATGACGGGAGTAGTAGTAGCGACGAGACAGATGAGGAGGTGAGAAGGATACCCATGCCGAGGGATACGCCTCCGCCTATCCCGCGACAGTATCGGAAAGGAGGGCCAGGAGGAGAGGCTGCAGGTGGTGGTCGGGGCCCGCACGCTCTTCCGGCGAAACCGCCCGTCGTTGAGGCGAAGACTGTGTACGAGGCCAAGCCGGAGATCAGGAATCTCCGACAAGAGGCGATCAATAAGTTCGTTCCTGCAGCTGTCAGGGTCAAACAGGAAGCTATACGGGGACAAGGCAAGCTCTTGGAACCAGAGGAGATGGATCGGCTGGAGCAAGCAGGGTATAATGCCGGACCTGCAGAAGGCGAGGAGAAAGCTTCGTCAGCTGCACCAGATGATGACGACGCTCAACGCAGACTCGAAGAAGAGGAGAGGCGGTTCAGTCAGGAACTTCGGTCTGTGCAGATCGAAGAGGTGGAGGATGAGGAAGCATAATAATCAATCACTTCTTCTTCCACCGTGACCTGACTCGTGCCCCGTCACCCCATGATTAGGATCTTACGAGGCGTTAGTCGGATCTCAAATCAATGTACCTATAACTCGATGCGATACGAAAAAAATTAAACATCAAATTTCAAAATCACCCGTCCATCGACAGTTGAATTTCCAAACAAGCTATTTTTGGTCACGAGTTAACTTCGGACATATGCACCAATTTGAAATATTGGAGTGAGATGACAAAATTCAAAGCAAAGCCTGCCATTGCAGAACTTATGAGAGAAAACCCAATTGGTATGTACACAGGAGCCCTTCCCATACCATATGTAGCCCATGAATCACCAAATAAACACCAACCGTGAAACACCATTAGAATGGGGGTGGAAAGGAAATGTGAGGTTCAAAAGAGTGTGGCAGAGGATATCTTGGGGAAAGGCCGTGGTAAAAAGGCTCGAATCATCAAAAGCTGAATCAGAATCGCGTCGAATCACCAAGGTGTCTTTCAGTAGCAGTAATCCAAACGGGGGGATGTCAAATGTAATATCTGTACAAGTCGAGAAGTGAAGTGAAGATCAAACAACAGGGGCATCACGGCATTAGAGAACAAAGGAAAGTGAAGATCTTGGTGAGATAGGATTAACGACAATGCGGCGCAACAAAATGCATCCACGTCCCATGACTGGCATGGTCAACGTTGGTCTTTGAGATAATCCACCAGCCGTAACTCCGGAATATGTTTCGACTATTAATAGTAGATATGGTGAGGTGAGGAGATGTCCTCAAGGGAGATACCCAAAAGCCTACTGCAGCTACTCCCGTGGATCAACCAGCAAGAAGCACGCAGTTACTATGTGTATGAGAAATGGTGGCAATATCTGAATGTCGCCCGGGTGAAAAGCGCGATTGGAATCACCTCAGGTTGCGGATAACTTTTCTTCCCCGGGCCAAGAAGGGACTGGGCATCTCGTCCCTCTCGGGATCCCAAACAGCTGGAGAATCGCGCTCTGTCGGTTTCAGCCCGGTGCGGGGATCACTCGCACACCGCTTGATTTCGTCGATGGGACGGCCGCCGGCACGCGCCTGTGCCAATTCAACCAAGGTTCGACCGCCCATGTTGCGTTGCATGACGGCTTTGTACATCTCCTCCCCGCATCCGTTCGCCTTTGAGGCTAATTGCTTGATGCCTGTCTTGCGCGTGGGTGAGCCAGCATCGGCAGCCAGATTTGCTGATGATGGGATCTTGGACAAACGTCGGTGAGGCGATCGTGATTTGGCTTCCCTCTGCTGGTTGTCTCCAGATCCACCAGATGACATCTGCGGCAGTCTTGACCCATTGGTGGGAAAGATGGGAGGCTGGGTGCTCAGCTTCTGCATGAAAGCAGCGGTGTTCTGACGGAGAAGGGGCCTGGGCGGAGCCTTGAAGGGATCAGGCTTGACCTTGGGGCGTGTTGGAGAAGGTAAATCGGGGATGTCATCTTCATCATCAGAGTAAGCAAGGGTAGGTTCCCACTTCGTGCGGTTTTTCTCGGCCTCCGCGAAGATGTTCTTGCCGGAATGGGTCCCAGATGTCCGACGCGGGGACAAAGAGAGTGATGCAATGGAGATAGGGGAAGGCTCGGCCATCTGGACATCCATAGGCGATTCGACCACGGTTTTTGAGCGGTTGAAGGGGGTGCGAGTTTCCTTCCGTTGTGCCTTGCTTGCAGCAGGTGATTCCAGCGATAGATTGCTGATGTCAGTACCAGAAGGCTGTTCGGTGTCGTTGTTGCTCATGGAGAGCCGGGAGTCGTCGCTAGACTCCTCGCGAACAACCATAGTTCGCTTTTGCTTCTCTACCTCAATCGCAACTCGCTCCTGAACTTCGCACTCAAATCTCTTGCGGAGCTTTTCTATCTCGTTCTGCACTTGACGATCAATTTCAAGTCTGGCTTTCACTTCCCACTCGCGGCGCACCGTATTCTCAAGCTCAACTTTCATTTGTTGTTTTTCTTTCTCGAGTTTGGCGTAGGCCTGCTCAATGTCCCGAACCTTTTGCAAGGCGCTCTCTTCACGCTTGCGGAGTGTCCTGGACAAATCGGTAATTTCCTTCTCTTTGCGCATCAAGCGGATGATCGGCAAATTGATGAGGGCAGCAGTATCGGGACGGTGGTCCGGGTTGACTCGCAGACAGTTTGCGATGACGTTCTTTAGCTCGGGCGAGTAGAATTCGGGTAGAGGAGCGAATTTCCCTTCACGAATCCGCTGAACAAGTTGGATATGGGTTCTGGCATTGAAAGGCGGCTCCCGCTGACAGAGCTCGTACATGATGCAGCCGACCGCCCAAATATCGGAGCGCAGGGTGTACTTCTCGGCCGCGCATATTTCGGGAGACATGTAGAATGGTGTTCCGACATAAGTAGAGGCGAAATCGTGCGAGTTCATCAGTTTGGACAGGCCAAAGTCACCCAGTTTGACCGTGTTGTCGCTTCCGAGGAAGATGTTCTCCGGCTTAAGATCACGATGAAGGATAGTCATCTGGGCTTGCTTTCCTTTGAGACCCGAAGGCTTGGGCGCAGGACCCAGTATGTTTGACCCGACATCGACAGGATCTGAGCCGTAGTGACAACGGTACAGAGCCGTCACCAACTGCGAGAGGATGCGCCACACAAATTCCTCTTCCGCGTACTTATTCGTCTTCTTGAGGTTTTTAATGACCATGCTCAGATCGCCACCGCCGCAGTACTCCATGTAGAGATACAAGTCCTGGGACGCCTTGAGGTGTTCGCGATGGTAGTAGGCGACGATGTTTGGGTGTCTGAGAGAGCTTAAAATGTTGAACTCGGCCGTGAGCTGCTCTCGCTCTTTCTGGGACATCTTGATGTAATTGATTTCCTTTCGGCATAGGATCTGTATCATTATGTGCATAAGCAAGATGCCATATTGTAACGGGGACTCGCTGACTTACAAAGCCATCTGTCTTCCGCCGAACTTTGCGAATGATCCCGAAGGAACCGCAACCTAAACACAAGCTTGTTAGCCCAGTGTATATTGGTAGAATGAATATATCCAGAGAGAGGCCAATTACCAATCTTCTCTAGCACCTCATACTTATCAGCCTCCGCCAATGCAATTGCCATTGTGGCTATTGGGTGAATCCGGCCGCTGATAAGGAGGTAGAGGATGGAGGTAAAGTCGGAAGGAGATGTGAAAGGAGAGATGAGGGGTGTCCTATTGCATTTATGGACCGAGGCTGTGTGACTGAAAACCTGCTGGGTTAGTAGACGACGTGGTGGGAGTGGCACATGTAGTTGAGTTGTAGATTCAAGAAGTAGACATGCAAGAAGGTAGAAACGCTGGATGTTTGGGTGCAGGGCTGTTGCTAAGCAACGCATCCTGCCAAAGCCCTTTCCTGCATGCAGCAGGCGGTCGGATAGTAGGCGGTAAGCACAGTTGCATCACGGATGACTGGATCACTGGTGCCATCACTTCACAGGAATGCACTGGCCTCATCTGCATGGAATATCGGATAATTCTGGTGGATACATTGTTGACCAAGACGTTCACCACAAGATCTAGCGATGATATATCTGCAAGGAGAGTAAATATTCGATGGATATCTGTCTACTATATCCTTCCAAGGGAGGCTCTCCTTTCGAAAGTGGCAACCGCGGCCCCACGTGATCTCGGCTTATCGATAAGATGATGGCATCGGCAGCCATTCGAGTCCCGCCTTTCGGACTTTCGGCATCTGTCAACGTTCGCCTCCAGGACACTGTGACGGCATCGCCATTATGACGGAAGAACCGAAGGTCCTCCGGAAGGACCAGCTCGAGGTCAGCTTGCACAATGAGAAGAAACTGATTAAGGAGGGGGCAATCAAAGACGACAATCCTCTGGACCTTAGCGAGCCGTTTCGCGAGCTATGCAATGCTTGTCGTAAGGGGGATCTCAAAGTTTGTCAAGAGAAGATTACAGAGGGAGTCAATATTAACGCCCGTGATCCCTATGACTACACCCCCTTGATTCTGGTAAGTGGACTCGCTGTGGGAACTATGGAAATAGTCCGCCTTGCTGACTGAACCGTGCAATAGGCGAGTCTCTGCGGTCATTACGAAGTTGTGCAGCTGCTCCTCGAGTCCGGTGCTCTATGCGAGCGTGACACATTTCAGGGTGAGAGGTACGTTACTATCAAAATGCTTCTACTTCATGAATATCGATTGCTCACAATTGAATATCTATAGATGTCTATATAATGCATTGAACGACCGTATACGGAACCTGTTATTGGAGTATGATTATTCGAAATCCACGGATCCACTTCAGCCTCTGGCCGCGCATATCACTTCTCTCCTTACTCGTGAAACTCCGATAACGTCAGACATTGTTGTCACGGCAGCTGATGAATCCCTACACCTTCACAAGTTTATTTTGGCTGCACGGTCGCCGTACTTTCATCGAAAGTTGGAGTCTGCCCCTGATACGTCAACATGGAGACTTCCAAATACGATTCCACCAGAGGCTTTTGGAACAGCAATCAAATATCTCTATTTCGGAGAAGCCCCTCGGGACTTGAGAAGCGGCCCCGGCACGGGATTTACGGAATCGGAAGTTTTCGCGGGCATCGACAAGATAGCCAAGCATCTAGAGATCAATACCCTTGTGGATAGTATACTTGACAGTGGAGATAGGAGGCTTGCCAGACAGAGACGCACCATGGAAGTTGCGAAAGGACGAGACCAACTAGAGGAGTGGTTCCGGGCGAATGTGCTTAAGCATAAAGTGACGGTAGAGACAGCAAAGGCAGACGATATCAAGTGGGACAGGGACAATGCCATTTATGCCGATGTTTTTCTCCGAGCTGATGAACTCCCTGAGGACGACGAGGATGTTGTGGGGGCATCTGAGCCGACTGAGGCCGAACACGGCCGCTCCAATGGATCTGGCAGACGCGAACCGATGTCTACTCTGTTCCCTTGTCATCGGGCAATGCTTCTGCGATCGGAGTTCTTTCAAACCATGTTCGCCTCCCCCTTCAGGGAAGCCCATATGAAGGATCACCTCAATGTCATCAGCGTGGACTGCTCCCCGGATGTCCTTGAGATTGTACTGACCTTCCTTTATACGGAGCGGGCTGACTTTCCGCTCGATATTGCGGTCGATGTTCTCTTCGCATCGGACATGCTGTTTATTGAAAAGCTTAAAACAAAGGCAGCCATTGTCATCAGTACACTGGGTAGTGGCAACATGTCACAGGCGGAAGCTGCCAGGACACGCGGGACCAAGGAAGAGGATGATCTAGATATTTATGCCATCATTAAGGCTGCGTGGTTGACCCGTGTTCAGCGACTCGAAGAGTTTGCTGCACGATACCTCGCGTACCGGTTGGAAGCTCACATTGACTCGCCTGAGTTTGCAGAACTTATCCAAGAGTCGGCGTCCCGCATCCAGTCCCGACAGGAAACGGACTCCATCGAACTGTTGGATGATATCCGCTTCTACCTGGGTGAGCGATTCAGGCTGCGGTTCGATGACGCGGGTATCGATGAAATGATGGAGCCCACGCAGCCGGTGGCTGATGGTGTTGAGGTCAACGGAGACGTTGAAAAGGTCACAGAGGGAGTGGAGGCAATCCAACTTTCAAAGGAAGGCTCTGGGGATAGAACGAGCGTGGCAGTTCCGCCAGAACAGGCCGCTTTGAAGGCACAGGAGCAGCCACTCATCCGTACACTGGATGGTGAGGTCGCGGTCGACGAGTTCGACCAAGATGCGATTAACTATCAGATCCTGATGGAGAAGCTCGACAGGATCTTAGAGAACTTGAACCTTGACGCCTAGAGCCTGGCAGTGAGCCAGATGAACTGACGATTGATGACTTCTACAGGCGATATATATTGGACAGTATATAGCACACATATATAGAAGGACTGGATACGTTGCATGAATGACTTTTGTATAGTTCCTACATGGCTCAATGAGCTATGTCCCAGTCTATGGGGATACATGACGCTGCAACAACATACAAACATTGCGATCTTAACAGAACAATGAAGCGGTTCTCACATGCATAGCACCAGACTGCCTAAGCTTCAGGCCTACCCCTATCATTGACATGTCGTTAGTAGTGCCCTCGACACTACAAGCACACCACGCAACCCATCCGTGACCCCCTTACAGGGGTTACTCAATCCATCCTCTGATACCATCCCACCCTCCATCCGTCCGAGCAGTCGTAGTCTGCACAAGATGCATCCTAACGCACCCGACAATCCCAAAATAAAGTTAATTACCATACAGCCTAGTATATCTAGTACCTTCTCCGATACCGCGCATGGCTTCCAGACCAGGGAAGACAGAAATGTCGCGGTAGGCACAGACATCGACACATGGATACATGAACCAGGATGCCAATCCTCCCAGACACACCACGCCACCGGTCCGTAGATAGTTACTCTCTCAACTAGAATCACGCCCCGAGCCGCAGAGGTCAATGCTAGAGGGAACTATCTGCCTCCGTACTTTTAGGGGGGGGGCGAAAGGATAGTGCAGTAGGATCATGTCATGCAAATGAAACTTCGAGACTAAGACGAGAGATACTTCGGCGGTTAGAAACTTGGACGAAGCGAGAGAGTCTGTGCTTGACTTTTACCACATATTACTTAATTTACCTCCATACAACCATACACAATGATGCAAAAATACAGACCAGGAAACATACAGGAGAGGGGATGGAGTGGACTGAATTAGAATGTGAAAAAAAAAAAATTATCATCAATCATCATACAAAAACTAAAAATACCAATGATCGTAGAGGGGGGGAACAAAAGTATGCGCCTACATACACACTAGCTAGGATGTAAGAAGCATTGCCATCCAGACTGACTAACTGTATTGAACGAATCCGAATCCGACCGAGATTGACTTCGTTCTGGACTTATTCGATGAGTAATAGAAGGATGGCAATGCTTCACACTTGCTTTCTTTTGTTTTGTTTTTTGTTTTTTTGCTTTCCCCCAAGTGCAGTGGTCATAAGTATGTAGACACTCACTCTCCGAGTCCGCCCCATGTTTGGGGTCCAGTGAAGATGCAAGCCAAGCTAAATATATGTATAAGAGGCGATGTTATTCTTGGAATGATGTGATGAGATTGTCTGAACTGCATATTCAGCATGTAGGTTGTATCTGTGTGTGTATGTATGTATGTGTGTAGGTATTGTCATATGGACTTGGATAATATGGCAGTGGGAGGGAATCAGCTGGTAACAGATACTCCGTACCTGACCTCGTCACTTCCACTTTCGCTTCGCTTCACCAACTAAACTACAACCTCACCCACCACTACCAGTCATGGATAGAATCCTCTACAATTACAGTTACACACTTCCGGCAGTTTGGCATTTGAAATGCCGGCCGCATGGAAAAACAAGAACAGCAGGATTCTCGGTGAGCAACAGGCTGCATGGTAAAGAGGGAGATCATCGTGATCTCCCGCATCCCACGCAGGTTTGGATGGGTCCTGCGTGGTTTTTTCGACTGGAGAGAGAGGAGAAAAAGTGAGATGGGGTTGGAAATTGGGCCGGGATGATGGATGACTGGCCCTGCAGGTTGGAAATGAATCATGAATGGGAGTAAAGGTAAATTGATTGATCATCATCATCAATCAAGCAATCAGCCAACCATCAAAAGGGCTGAATATTGACTCCATAGCAGATGCAATATAGTAGGTCCTGCCATTGCTCGACCCCATCCTCCTAACTCTACTGTCAGACCAGGACTGTCATCTAACAGGCTGTTACTCTTAAAGGTCTTAGTGGATGCTCGGGATGATCAGGACAGAAAAGACTCCAGAACACACAGACACTAAAGCTCCATCCCGCAGCCGAGCCAGCCAGTCAGCGACATCTGCTGCAGGTGGGAAATCGCCAACGCGAGATGGGATGCTGATCAACCGGACTGATTGGTGATCCGAGCCCTTCTTTTTTCTCCTGGGGCTGTTCTTTGCGACGGTCGGGCATTTCCGTTGCGGATCATCTGGCTGGCTGGCGGTCGGGGGTTTTACGTGCCAATCGGTCGGGCTGCGCAACAACAGGGTTCAGGATTATCGTCCATGTTGGGCGTCAAGCTGCTGAGTGCTGATGCTGGCTGGCTGGCTAGCAAGCTGCCTGGCTGACGCTGGCTTCAAAGTTTGAGGGTCTGCAGGAAGGCCACCTACTGGTGGAGAGGAGAAAGATGGAGGATTGCTCTCCAACTCCAGTGGATCGTGGGATAGATGAATAGTACGAAAGGGATTGCAGTTGCGCCCGTTCCAACCCGCGCCTCGATGCGGCCCGGTTTGCCACGACCAAAGGCAGCTTCTTTTCCTCCCCCTGCAGTCTACGCAGGACTTACTTGGTACTGGATATACCTGGTTGAACTCCCGTGATTCCTCTCCAATCATTCTTCTCGAACTTCCCAATATGATCGACACCGCCATGGCCTCGATCGGGAGTGCGGGGATACAGCACTGATTGGTGCAATATTCGACGAGCAACGCGCCGTTGAGCGATCTCCAGCATCATCACATCATCGCGTGCGTTTGCTGCGTGGAAAAACTGGAAACAAAGCATTGCAACAAAGACTGCTTTGAAACAATGAACTTTACTACACCGTCTCCGTCATCCACGGAGTCGCCGACATTGGATGGGGTCCATTCGGATCCCCAAGTGGAGGCGGGATTTCCTCCCCTGAGGGGCTCCAGCTTTTCTCCTCCATTGACATCTCGACTTGCTTCAAGCGACCCTCCACTCGCTGGACACCGTGTACTCCCGTAGGATCACGCCAGCGCTAGTCTCTCTGTATGGTAAATCATGAGGGCACGGTAGGATGCTCGCCAGCAACCCGCCACCACTTTTAGCCCATTATTGTTCGTTTCCCCGCCGCCGCCCAACGTGGCCAAACCCGCCTCTCAGGCATCGCCATCGGCTGCCATATCCCTGTCTGCTATCCTGCCAGCTTATCACCTTTTCCCTGTCGACGGATGATCGGTTCTGTGGCATGCTGATCGGCTACGATGTAGAAGCCCTAAGGTCAACCCTGCTCCATCTTTGCATTCCTTCTGGCCAGGGGGCTTTTTCCACCGTCCGAGACTTGACTGGATTCTATCGTGCCGCCGATGCTAGCCATGGCGCCACCTAGATCCTCTTAGCTGGGAATGCTAGTCAAGGCCCTGGTGACCTCGATTCCGGTTTCTCGGGTCCGTCTAGGATGTGCTATTCTGTGAAAGACTTCCTCTTTGGGGTAGTTTACGCCGCTCTGGGCGCTGTCCTAGTCTACCAAGTGTGTTTCTAGTTGCCACACTGGCGGAAATGACCCCCCATTACATGGACACCTCCTACGCCATCAAGACAAGGTTATCCAAGTCCAACGGCCCTCAAGCCCATCGATCCGATAAGCGAAGGATTTAGCACGAGGGAAAGGAGTGGGAAAACGGCGGAGCCGAGCTTCAGTAGTCGGGCCCCCGATTGATTGCTATCCCTCTTGGTATACTGCTCCGACACTATGGCACGGTCTGCCCACGAGCAGAGACGCGCGTAAGCAACCAGCCCAGCCCCCTGCCCCCTGCCCCCCTCAGCCCCAGGACATAATATGAATCGCCGAGGATATTGGCTCGGTGTTGTACGGCGATGGCACCGTTACTCTGTGGGGGTGGTTGCCGTGTTGGGCTCACCCAGTTATCCGTCCTAATACCTCCGACCTCACAGCCACACCCATTGCTATCTTTTCAGGCCACACGGACCCTGAGCCAATGCAGGAAACCCGGTCGATCAAGGACAGAGCGTGATTTCGTGCAGAAAGCGCCAGTATAGTATACCGAGTATAGCCGCCGTAGTTACTCCGGGATCGAGGATGTACCTGCGGCCTGGACTACAAGGAAGGCAAGTATCTGCGGAGTAAGTCGATACGGGATATGCGCGCAGGCTTCATCTATCAAATCAGAGGCAGTATATCCAGCTGCAGCGTGTCTAATGTCTCAACTTTCGTCCGCTGCAGCGGAGTTGGGAGATCGCCCGGATGCTAAACATTCATCCAACCATCCATTCTGCAAGTGCCGGCCCCAGAAAAACGAGCGGTCAGAAGGAGAGGCTGAAACCCGGTCTGCGTGTCAAGTCACATCTTCCATGCTGCTCTGACTAAATATGAGTCACTTCAGGCAGACCACTACATTGTGTGAATGTGATGGCTACGGCGCTCGCGTAAATCAGCCACTCCTTGTGGGTGCATTCTGCAGATGAACTCGAACTCCAAGATTTGAGGCGCCTGCAGGTGAGTGATCTGTCTGCCAGTGAGTGGCAGCGGGCGGATGGATCTTGTCATCTGACATGAATTAGTCTTGTGATGTGTAGATGCATGATATCATGGCGGATCAGTCTCGATGATCAGTCAGACACACATCAGACGCCATTTTTGAGGCGAGCTGTGCTGCTGCTGCTGATGTAGCTGTAGACTATAGTTAATCCGCAGATACATCGAAGCGCCAGATGCCAGACACCCTACAGGCAGGAATAACGATCTACACCATACAGAGAGTCATGGACGCCTAGTGCTGACCGAAATGCTGCCCTCAAGCATCATCCTTCCCTCATGCTGCACTAGTTTAGAATCCCGGAACCGCTTCGGTGACATTCCGAGCTGCCCTTATTTCCAAGCAGATAAATTCTTCTTCCCATTTCAACTACCTGTATTGCAAAATGCTTCCATATATCTATACAATCAAGTATCAAAACAAACATATGCCAACTACACAAAGACCTTGATCTCATATCAGAAAGGAAAAAAACCCAAACATCTGAATAATACACACAGACCAAAACAATACCATACATCCAGCCAAAGACAGCCGACAGGAAGGATGATTGATTTGCTCCACATAATCCCGACACTAAGTTGCCGTTAGTGGCCTATAATCTCGGGCATCGGACTTGTTCTGGAGATGTTCTGGGTCCGCACTAGTCTACTCTGGGTATGGGCGGCCCCGCCTGCCACGCAGCAGATCTGTAGATTTGTTACATGAATTACGGTTACTGTTTTGTTGATACGGTTGTATTGATTCGGAGTGTGTGTTGAGTAGTATACTAGGTTCATTGACTAGCAGGGATAATGGATGGCGAGGATTTATTGAATAGAGTTTTCTGGAAATTTAGAAAGGAAGGAGGGATGTTACTCAGTATGTTAGTTGGTTTGAGTGTTAGTAGTAGTATAATTTATGTTATGTGGTTGGTGAGTGAGTGAGAGATATATCGCGGAGTAGAGTATACCGACACATGACGATATCATGGAGTGATATATGTTCCTGACTCTTATCTGCATCCTGATACTTATAGATCATCATGTTATTGTTCGTTAGGAAGTAAGTAGTCTGATTAACTGGGTTTTCTACACTGTCAAGTCAGGACTCATCCCACGTCCTACCACATTATACTACTTCATATCCGTATATTCCCAATATATCCACCACAAAACATGAACCCTATCCATCGATCAAAGCAACTAAATCACTCAGCTGTAGTAGACTAAATTCAGATGTGACCACCGCGGAGAAATATATATCAGCACGATATCCAATAATATTCCCCCCTTTCGGCAGAATTAAGTTTTGATTGACATGTGTTCAGATGTCATTACTTAATACCTCTGGACTAATGTAGTCCGTGGAGTGGGATGCAGAGGAGAGAGCCTACTTCTGGTTCGATGGTTGCATGGTAGGGTGGATTCTGCATGCATGTAAATACTAGTACTTCGTAGAAAGTGTATTCGATAGGGGCTTCCCTGTTGGGGGTTTGGTTGGTTTAGTAGTATTATGTTGTGTTGTTGTGTTAGTAAGTGGGATGTGGTGATAGTACTGGTAGTTGTAGTAATGTAGTTGAGGGCTGGGTTACTATGGTTAGTAGTTGTCTGTATACAAGACTTGGGGATATAGTATATTTTAATGGGAGTAGTATACTGTAAGTGCATTCTCAAATATAGTCCATCTTGATTACTGCTGTTGTTGCAGTGGTATATATATATCCATGAGAAGTAATTGCCTAACACATACTATACTACTACTACGAATTGAAATATATATAAACTGAGAGTGTAATGGGTGTTACTACTACTACGACACAGCGTATACCTAGAAATGCATCACTTCAATATGATATGCACGATCTATAGTACTACTCAGGTGATACAGTGGCAAGTAATGCCCTGTGAACACTACTACAAAGCACATTGTACAAACCCAACCAACAATCCATTGACCCCATCACTGCCACCATCACCCAATCAGACCACTTGAAGGAGAATCCTAAGTCGAAGGAATCCAACTATTTGCCACAGAGGAAGTGAGCGCCCTGCTTCCGCCACTCCAGGGCTTACATACAATATGGGCCGATGGCTAGACAGCATCCCAGTAGAAGGAATGAATGAAGTCAGGTGCTCTACAGCCCTGATGAGGCTTCAAGTAGGAAGTAAGCGTAAGGTAATTGAGACAAGTGCTAAACAGGTCTGCTTTCATTGACCCTACAAGGACTACCAACAAGGGTTCCAACAACTACGCGAGAGTGAAGCAAGAAGACAGCACAGAAGGAGCAGACCACCTAACCAAGCATCTAACCAGTTTATCCCTCCCACCCCAGCATAACAACCAAAAGAATTCACAAGCAAGAACCACACCCCCCAAATTCTAGAACCCATCGAACCCATCAACCATGTGCTTTTCCATCCACCGTTCGCCTTACCACCCAAAGGAACACCACCACCGGATCCCTCCATTCCCCCCTTCATTTCCGAACCCTGACTGAACCGACCCATGGCTAATCCATCCATCCTTCCACGCTTAGCCGAGAGAAAACACACACCATCCATCTATCTCCAACACACACTATTCAATTTACATCTCGCATGCCCGCCCATAAACAGTATAGCACAAACTCCACCCTCGGGACAGACAGACAGAACAGACAGATCTAACTAAGAATCTACCAAGTGGACATACATAGTACTTAGTTGTCTCATCTCGTCTCATCCAAATTACTTTTTTGTTTAAGTAACCATGAATTATCATATCCCGTTTCCCGTTTTTCCCGGGATGTGGGCTTCCACGTTCTCAGCTTGCCCCACTTCGGATATGAAGATGTAAGGTCAAGTAAGTATCCAAAGGGAAGAGACATGGTGGAAAAAAAAGTGGGGACGGAGGGATTGGGCCCAGCCCTAACCATGTCTATGCCATGGCATGAGAGATGATGATCCTTCCATATTCATTCAATTAAGGATGGAGAAGAAAAAAAAAACAGGTAACAAGGAATGGAATGGAATGGATAGCCGACCGGACTTGTTTCTTACGTCGATAGATATTACTATGTACTCCGTACATAGTATGTCTAAGTGAGTGGCCAACCAAGTGAAAAAGTGGGTATATACATGACTAGCTAGTTAATTAACTAGTTAGTAAGAAAGAAAAGAAAGATGGTTACCTAAACCGGCTCCCTCTCTCTCTCGTACTGGACTCCACTGTACGCACATATGCAACGCACACACACACAAAAACACGCGATGATATCTAAGTAGGGTGGGTCTTTCTTCCCTCGTGTCTGTCTGAGAGTGTATCCAATGTTCAATCTCCGGGTGACAACTAACTAACTAGTCTAGTTTGCTACCAACTAAATGATCAGGTGATGTTCTTGGAATGAGATGAGATGGGAATTGTACCGAGGTTCGTGATCGATCAGCCTCGTGTATATTGCACACTGTCTTAGATGACTACTTGTCTACATAGTAAGTAAATGAAGTATACACCACCACCCACATAGAAATAGAATAAGAAAAAAGGAAACTAGGACACGAGCTGCACATCATGCACGCTACTGAATGTGCGTGACTCCCGTGAACTTTGTCCTACGTACCCATCCTCCTCCATCTCCAACAAACTACCATGTATCTAACCATCGTAGAACTAGAGCGAAAGACTGAATCAACCATCTAACTAACTACTAACAACCTAGTCTCCAAACGCAATGTACATGAACCAGGATTAATGATTCCCCCTTCCCACCTTGGGTCGCCAAAACATCGGCTAAGCCAAAACGCATGACATGACTCGACCCATCGATATCGAACCTGGTTAGTTAGCTGGGATAAAATGT